AGTTTAGGGCTGTTGTACATAGGGTCGCTATGAGTCGCAGGCCACTTGAGGGCACATAACAACAACACATTTCCCTGACAGCCATTCACGCTGAGCTTGCTTGCAACTGCCTTCTTGCACCGCCCAGCGGCCAATCTGGTCCGAGGAACCCAGCAACCTTGTGTGATGACAGTGGGGCCTGGCGGTTGTCATCACGCTGTACAGATAGGGAGGCAGAGGCAAAGAATCTTTCCGAATAGCCCAGAATGACTGCATTATATTGGTTGTTTTTATTTAAGCCTCTTGTTTTGAGTCAACAAGATCTTGAGGAGGGCCTTTGTATTTAAAGTCGGTTGTTATATTTTGGAGGGGCATTCTTCTTAGTGGTACAGCACTCGATGCTGAACGTTGTGCCACTGGGGTGTCAAATGCCATAACAGTTACCCATGGTGGACAGTGTTTGGTGGCGCTCCCAATTTAAGACAGGTTTGGAAGCAGGAGTGGTATCCACTTCCTAAACAACATGCCTCCAGAAAGTCTATGAACTTTGATAAATGTTTATAGTTATAGAAAGGCTTCAGGCCTTTTGTTCATAGGGTCACAATGATTCGTGCTCGACTTGAAGACAATCAACAACAGTATCCAGGGGCTTATAACCAATGATTTGTAATCTCTGAAAGCAGTGATTTTCAACTTGTTCAGTCAAGAAACTCTCAAACCTAAAATTACATTAAGCTCAGTGGGTGGAAAAGCAAAGATACTGGACCCACAAAGATAACCTGTTTAATTCAAATCCAGCCTCCAGCATTTAGAGCCTGAGCATGTATCCACATGATTAATAACATACTCATCTTAACTCAGCTGTGTGGCGATGAGGATCAAGGAGCTGAGGACCTGCTACCTGCCCTGTGATTGGTTAACTGGGAACTAAGTTTATCTGTAGATACTGACTCCTTTTCTTTATTTTCAAAAACAGTACACAAATCTCATTCCTGTCAAACTATAAGAAATTTTGGAGTTCCAACTCTTTCCTTTGAACTGTTAATTCCCTGAAGTCCTACCTCAATGGTTCTTTCCCTTTTTAAGAGACTTTTACACAGTCCCAGGAGAACTGGTGTCATAGTGAGTTCGGATTGCACTGCTAACGTAAAGGTCAGAAGTTGGAATCCACCAGTCACTGAGGGAGGAAGATGAACAATGTGTTTATGGACAAAATTCCTGCCTTTGGGAAATCTTTGGGGCAGTCCTACTGATAGGGCCACTCTAAGATGGAATTGACCCCATGGCTTGGTTTATTTGGGATGGACTTTCAAAATCGGCCCCATTTCTAAAAGATGTCACAGAGGTGCATTTCTCCTACCCACTACCATCCATCTACCTT